AGCGTATCTCCATGCATATCAACTTATCTGACGTGTTTCAGACGACCACTGAACACGTTTCTAACTTCCAGCTACTGTATAAAGGCGTATTGGCGTATTTTGATATAAAGGGGGTTCGCAGAGGAAAACCATCAGTTTCCTGTTCATAAGTGAGCGTGAAGGTGAGTGTGATGGATCCTCCCTGCGTTCACGCCCACGGCCTCAACCAACAAACTTCCTAGCAGACATGATGCTGAATCTGCCATCTTTCTTTTTATTTTTATTTCTTCTTCTTTTTTTATTTTGGAAGGCAGTAAACAGCAGCTAGGTTAATGCGGCAATCAAAGACATCTTTTTATGCAGAACGGGCACCTCTGGGCACATCGCTGCTCCCATCAGGCGTGGCAACGCACCTGATGGGAGCAGCTTTAACTGATGCCTTGTAACGCTGCCGTGCGTTATGCATAAGTTAGACTGTCGTTGGACATAAATTCTGGACTCTTTATGAAAACTCTATGTATACACCCAAAATTGGAAAAAAAAATACTTAAAAAGTTCAGCGTATGCCAGCATCTTAGGAGATTCTAGGACGTTGGGCATATGCTGGCTAAAACGTCAAGGTATGCCAGGGCCCTAAAAGGGGAACTTTGCCTTCTGCCTTTTTTTTTCCCCCACAGGTCCCCTGCATTTTCTCTATGCAGCCGAGGAAGCCATTTTTACAGCCTGATGGCTCAGAGCGATCCTTTCAGGGGGATTTGTAGTAATTCCACCCATGCTTCACGTTATGATTTGCTCTTGTTTAATGTTGGTATTAGTGACAAAATATAGAATTTCAGGAAGTCTACATACTTTCTCCAGTTATTATTTCTGTCATATAAAATGTTTTAAACAAAAACATAATATTTTTTTTTTTTTCTAATTGCAGATCCGGGTGCTGGAGAAGGAATTTGCAGCTTCCACCAACAGTGACTCTCATCCGTACAAGGAGGAGCTGGAGATGGCCTTGGAGCAATGCTTCTTCTGTTTGTTTGCCTACCCCAGTAAGAAGAGCAAAGCCCGTTACCTAGAGGACCACTCATCTCCACAGGTTAGTCCTCCAAGTTCTCATAGTTAGTATCCTGACTGTCCAATCAGAGGTAAACAGGCTTTTCGTCTTATTTCATTATTCCAACAAAACAACAGAGCTGCCACAGAGATAATGGGCAAATGGTGATGAAGAGGCGGTGCAATAGTGAAGAGGTGGCTCAAGGCTTTGACTAATTGGTATCTCTCAGTTGTATTGCCAAACTTATGTAAGAGGAGCCCATGAAAAAGAGCAGACTGCCGATGACGCAAAAACGCACCCTCGCTGAACCTCTCGCTGCTGAATCGGTCAGATATATCCATTAACAGGTTTGCTGCTGAGCCGAACAAAACAGGTGTCAGGGAAATAAACCGAGGCTCTGAAGCAGCATTGTTCAAAGACTATTTTTATTCCAAATCAGAAAATATTTGTGGGAGCAGCAAACAACATATCTGTAAAATAAGTTACTTGATGCAGAGTCTGATGCGACTTCAGTGGGGTTTTTTTGGCAAAGGATTTTCTTGTTTTAATTCTAAAATTCCTTTCAGTTACTAAACATAAATACAGATTCAGTAAAGATGTGTGTCTACACCTTGAAGCTCTATCTCTCCAGTTCGTTTTCCTGAAAAGAGATAGCTCTGGACAAACTTAAATAACACTTCATCACTTATATGTATTAAATAACCCTGAGATGTGACAACAGATTTTGAGAAAACCGACCTTGAAGTAGTAAGGAAGTCGTATTTAAATGTCAAATCATTCTGGCTAAAACATGTAAATAAATGTACTCTTTATCAGAACATATTGTCCCAAAAGTTGGAACATTTCTATTTAAAAAGAATAAAATCCTGTCTTAAAATCTGTGTTTTTTTATTTTATGCAGGCCAGTCAGTTATATCAGCTTGAACACCTAAATTCGGCCAATCATATATCAACGGTCATCCGTCAATCCAATTTTTTCAGTCGTATCATCTTGATTCATATGTCGCAGCTAATATACGCAACGATTGAAATAAGGAATAAGAATAATTTCCTTTCCCATTGAGTTCCGTCCCAGTGTTCACGGGGATGGATGTCTGTGTCTTCAGCAGGCGTAGAGCTAACAGAACTGGCAGCGTTGCGAGGCAAGGGCTCAAACATGTACGGCTGGAAGCCTTCTA